TATATATATATATATATATATATATATATATATAAAACATAGTCTGAAACATAAGATAACATTATGTGTGTGTTGCTACTAAAAAGCATGGTAACACTTTATGGACCAATTCTCACTAGTTGCTTATTAGAATGCATATTAATAGCATATTGGCGGTTTATTAGTACTTATAAAGCACAGATTAATGCCAATTGGACAAACCTAATAAGACACTGAAGACTTCATATGATAGAGTGGACAATAAACAAATAAAAAACGTTGTATTGTTTTTTCTATACTGCTGGAATGATACTGGAAAATGTAGTAAGTTAATATTATTGCTTACTTTTTTCACCAACACTACTTTGCTCTTCCCAGAAATAAAACTATTTCTAATAGGAAATGTCATGCGTAAAAATTCAAAATATGTCTCAAACAAAGTATTATTGGTTTTCTTAAAGAAAAACATAAGCCAATGGTAGGTTCCCCACCTTATAAAACGTGACATGCGTGTATGTGCTTTAGATTACAGGTGACGTCTGAGCAGTTGGCAGAGGAAGAATCCAAATTGAAGAAACTCATTGAAGACGGTTCCAATCAAACTGGCACAGACGCTCAGACACAACATAAGGTGAGACACCATGTCTGAATGCTGAACACGTCACACGTCTGCTTGTGTCAGAGCTTTCACCTCCTAAATCATTTTTGAAAATGTGTTCAAAAGTTTGGGGTCAATAAGATATTTTTTTAAATTGGTAATTCTATACAACAGGCATGTATTTAATTGATCAAAAGAGACAGTAAAGACATTTATAATGTTACAAAATTGTTCTTCCAATAAATGCTGTTCTCAAAGAAAATGTATCACGTTTCCACAAAAACATATTATGCAGCACAACTCTGATATGAAATGTTTCTCGAGCACCAAATCAGAATATTAGAATGATTTCTGAAGGATCACGGAATGAATGCTTCATATTCACAGTTTACTATAAGATGCACAACTCTCTGAAATTATTATGAGCAATTTAATAAGTAGCAGCAAGTCAGGGCTGTTTTTTATACTTGTTACCATAACAACAAACAGCCAGGGATGGGCAGTATGTCAGATACTATATTACTAGATACTATTTTGTATTTTAAAGCCTTTGGAAAAAGTCAATGTGCCAGTCGACTTCTTTATCAGGGTGCTGATTTTGTGCTTCAACTAGTTCAGACACCTCCCCTCCCCTCAACCCCAACATTCATGCATGTGAGGTGCAGCTGTACAGCTTCATTCAGCATTGGGTGAGGGACTTTTCTGGAATTAGATGAGGTGAGGATGTCATGGTCAATTTTTCATGTTGATTAAAGTTAAAATAGTGCACCATTTGCCTTCAGTTAACATGAAAGAATAAAAGAGCACCAACAAGGGAAAAAAATAGCGTCAGCCAATCAGTTTTGATAGTTAATCGGTTGTTTTTTTTATCATCTAGCTTGTCAAATGTGTTTAAAGCATTACTGTATGTTAGGGCTGGGTGATATGACAATACATATCGTGGCAATGATAGAAAGTGTGTATAGTTAAATCAAGTGTGAATTGATTGAACTTTTTCTAAATCATTTACACAGAAAAAGGCCAATCGGGGTAAACAAATATATGTGCAACTTTTAGTGGGAAAACATTGGAGTGGAAAAAGAAGCATGGACGAATGGTTGAGTAATAGAGTGTGATGTGCTGTATGTGTAAATACAGTATGACACAAAAGAAAAATTCAAATTTACACTCGCACAGTTTTTTTGCGCGCGCGATCAAGGAGTGGAATTCCGACAAGTAGGCCCACACTTTTGGCTTAACGGGTTAGTACTAGGATGACTTGAGGGTGAGTAATTTATGGGCTAATTTTCATTTTTGGGTGAACTAACCCTTTAAAGGCCCTTTCACACGGGACTCGAAAAGCGGTGGAATCACCGCACAGCTGCCGCTTTCTCTCGTAGTGGAAGCAGTTTGTGCAGTTGAAGCCCTGTTTATACTTTCGCTTGCCTCTACACCGCAAACCTGCTGACTGCGCGCACTCCTCCCTAAACGGACGCAGCTTTTTTGACACTTGCTTGACATTTTTTACACTTGCTCACCTTTGTATAATTCTGTGAAACGACAGTCGGGCAACTCAGAGTAATTGTTCTCTAAACCATCAGAAAACAGCGGTGAGAGGAAGTAGCTTTTGGTTTTATTGTTCACCAAAATAAAAATAAAAAAATAAATAAAAAATAAATTTTAGTTTTGTATTTCCTACAGAGCAGGGGAAGAGAAGCGGTATGTAAAATGGAAAGTGAAACAATTCAATGGAAAAGTTTCTGAGCAGTTGTACATATCTAAATGTTTTTTTTTTTTTTGCATTTAGAATAGGTCCAGATAGATTTCAGCCTATAGGAATGCCTACATTGGATGGCCAATTTCACATGTATTTTGTGTATTTTCAAAATACTGTATCTGTATTTAAATAAATTTTTCCACACAGTATTTTGTATTTTTATTTTAAATAGATTTTCATGTATTTATGCCCATCTCTGCAAACAGCCTTGTATGGAGGTCAGCTGAACCGCAAGTAAACACATTTTGACTTTAAAAACACACACTGAAGGCTGTTGAATTAGAGTTCCTATGATGAGCTCCTTTAAGACTATAGCTTATATTATAGAATTGAATTTATTCTAATTAAAGTAATAGTTCACCAGAATATGAACATGTAATTGCTTTGGGGGGGGGAGTTATGATGACTCAAAGAAAGGTCATGAAACAATTCAATGGAAAAGTTTCTGAACAGTTGTACATATCTAAATGTTTTTTTTTTTTTTTGCATTTAGAATAGGTCCAGATAGATTTCAGCCTATAGGAATGCCTACATTGGATGGCCAATTTCACATGTATTTTGTGTATTTTCAAAATACTGTATCTGTATTTAAATAAATTTTTCCACACAGTATTTTGTATTTTTATTTTAAATAGATTTTCATGTATTTATGCCCATCTCTGCAAACAGCCTTGTATGGAGGTCAGCTGAACCGCAAGTAAACACATTTTGACTTTAAAAACACACACTGAAGGCTGTTGAATTAGAGTTCCTATGATGAGCTCCTTTAAGACTATAGCTTATATTATAGAATTGAATTTATTCTAATTAAAGTAATAGTTCACCAGAATATGAACATGTAATTGCTTTGGGGGGGGGAGTTATGATGACTCAAAGAAAGGTCATGCAGTATCAAATCTGTGTTTTTTGTGTTTACTATTTTGCATTCATTAAATACTGTCTGCATTGAATACTGAATATGTAACATATAGTGTTGGCGTGACTCCACCTTGTGGCAATAAAAGCTGAAGTGTCTGTCTGTTAGTAAATTAACACAGCCATTTTTTTTACTAAAGTTGATGAAAGATGAAAGATCACCCCTAATTATCCAATCAGAGTGAGTGAAAGAAAGTATTAGCAGTTAAACAAGGAAAGCATCACATGAATTAGATGATTTATGATATTTACAATAATATAAAAACACACACTGAAGGCTGTTGAATTAGAGTTCCTATGATGAGCTGCTTTAAGACTATAGCTTATATTATAGAATTGAATTTATTCTAATTAAAGTAATAGTTCACCAGAATATGAACATGAAATGAAAATTATTTTGCTGAAAATTGACTTACCCTCAGGCCATCCAAGATGTAGATGAGTTTGTTTCTCCATCTCGTATGACCTGAGGGTGTCAATTTTCAGCAAATTTACATTTTTGTGTGAATTATTCTTTTAAGCTGGGTCTTGGTCTTATAATATTGTATGTGTTTCCTCAAGACAAATTAAGTTCAAAAGCAATTACCTCAAACTGGCACATGAACCTAACTGATGTATATTCATACTTCACCAATACAGACACACAGGAACTGACGTGAACGCTCGTGTTCTGTTTAGATTGACTTTACTGACTTTAAGTTTGGAGTCAAGTGACTAAAGTGTAAAAATAACAACAGTACATTTCAAGATTTTCCCATCAGATTATTTAAATAGTTTCCTCTATTGTTTCTGTTTGGGGTCAATTTACAATTGGCAGCAGTGAACTGCAACAGTGTGTACATTAATTCAGTTTTATATCTCTGAGACACAAAATATTAGCAAGCATATTACTACACTCTAAAAAATGCTGGGTTAAATATAACCCAGTGCTGGGTTAAAAAGGGACAAACCCAGCTATTGGGTTGTTTTGACCCAACTGTTGGGTTGTTTTGAGTCAAAACAACCCAATAGCTGAGTTTGTCCCTTTTTAACCCAGCGCTGGGTTATTTTTAACCCAGCATTTTTTAGTGTATAATCACACAAATCTGACACAAACACTACAGACCTGAAACGAGTCTTTTGTAATTTTCAGTTAATGTCAAAACTATTACATAATACAATTATTATTTAATGTTCTGAATATGGTATTAATATTCATTGAATTAATTAAATGGGTAACTTTTATGTATGTCAGCTTCTATTTGCCATCAGCCATGATTAATTCATTCCATGAGCAAATGTTTCCTATACTTAAAGTGAGTCGTACTCAACTGGTCATGTGACCTGAACATGAAGCGACATAAATAAAACCGCTTTTATAAGTATATAATAAATATTATTTTCATTGCGTGTAAAACTTTTTAATGAGGAAAAATTGTGAGTATACCTTTAATAAATGTTTCATGGTTTCTCTCTAAATCACATTGTAAGCAGAGTGCTGCAGTATTTGGGAGACGGTTGGGATATTGGTGTGCATGTTAATGCACTTAGAAAGGAAACTTCTCAAGTCTAGAATGGAGGCTGATCAGAGACGAGCTCTTCCACCCATAAATGTTCCATGGCCTTGAATTAAATATTAAGCAGCAGAATGAGATGGTTTAAAGAGCTAAAGAGTGTGATGTGTCCTCTCTAAGGATGACTGTTGACCTTTTCTCTGTTGTTCATCCAATAGGGAGAGGTCGTGGTGGAGCCAGTGGGAGCAGGTGAGTGTGTGCCACCTGTCCTCTCTCTGTGTCCAGGCTAACCATCTGCCTGTCTGTTTCAGTTACACAGCATCAGGCTTGTCTGCATTCCAGACTTGATTATTGCTTAAACAAAAGAGTATAATCCTTGACAAAACAATAGTTGTGAATCTGTGTTAAATTAATTCCTGGTTAATTCAGTTGGTGAGAGTTTACAATAAGGTTCAGATTGACAACATGAGCTGATGCATTAGAGATCATTAACTAACAATGAACAATACCTTTACAGCATTTATTGATCTAGGTTAATTTTAATGTAACATTTCTGGAGTTATACATTAACATTGATGAATTAATAAGTTGATGAATTAACAATAATCAATTTAATAATAATATTTCTTATTATTAAATAATATGTATACAACCGTTTAAATATTAGGGTTCATAAATTTTTTTTCTGGATGTATTTTGTTATTTAAAAAATTGTAATTCAAATCAGTGCTGTAAAATAAATACATTTTGAAATTTGTATACATCAAATTATCCTGAAAAGGAAAAGAATCACTGTTTCCACAAAAATATTAAGCAGCACAACGGTTTTCAACATAGATAATAATGAGAATTTTTCTTGAGTGGCAAATCAACATTTTAGAATGATTTCTGAAGGATGAGGAGGAGTCAGCTTTGCCATCACGGGAAGGAATTACATTTTAAAATATATTCAAATCTATTTATTTTAAATGTATTTTATTTATTTATTTATAAATATATTTATTTAAAAAGATTTTTTGTGTGTTTTTTTTTTTTAATAAACAGCCTTGGTGAGCATGACTTCTTCTTTCAAAAACATTAGTATTTATGATAATATTTATATTTATTTATGTTACCGAACTGAAACGTTTTGTAAAGTGTTACCAGTCTCTTTTAGGCTTAATTAGTTAATTTTTTTAATCTACAGTCTAAACAGATTATAATATTGTGCAATGAAAAATGTTTTCAAAAATAACAGAAAAACAGTATGATATTGAACTAATATCAATCATAAATGTTTTTAATCAAACAGCAATTGCTGAGACGGCCCCTAATGGACCTATCGTGGAGAACGGAAAAGAAGAAGAGAAAGGTATAAAATATCAGTTATTATATACTGTTCTCTCTTTTGAACTTTGGTATCTGCACCAACATATGCAGAACAACGGCGTCAGTCATCAGATTACAGTAAGTCACTTCTCAGACTCTGCATCTGCTGGTGCAGTGTGAATTGGCCTTAAATGATCAAACTTATCAGTGAAGAAAATCCCATAGATTTTTACTGAAGTATGTAATATGTACTGATAAAGTAATGACCAGTAAACACTCTAGTAACCACCTAGCAACACCCTAAAAAACACCCAGGACAATCTAGCAACAGCAATGTGCCAAAAAACAATCAGAACAGCTTAGCGACCACATAGCAACAACTCACAACACTTCAACAGATTCTCCTACTTGTACTCTTTTTTTCTTGTCTCTCTTTTTTTCTCTGTCTGCTTTACCTTCTTTGCCTTATTAGTTTCATATTTATGAAAAACCTTAAATATTCTATTAATTATAGAATTAAAGCATTGCCTCGCCAATCAAAGTCTTAAAACTCAGTAACTATTCCCATCATCTATGAATATCAAAACTGATTTTAAATTCATACTGTTGGTTTTTGTTGCAGATGATTCTGTGCATGCTGAAAATCACGAGGTGGAAGAAGCAGGAATGCTCAGTGATGTTACAACAGAAACAGCTGCTCTTAACGGAAATGTGGAAGGAGAAACATCACACAATACTCCAGGAGAGGAAGAACATGCTTCTGCTAACGGCTTCAACAGCCACCCTGCTGAAGGACTAGGTGCTGCTGGTGGTGTAACTATGACCTTCCTTGGCTTCAAGGAGGTGGAGCTCGGGCAGAGGGTGGATGAGGATGATGACGGCGGAGCAATTATTCGAGCAGAAAGAATCATCATCACAGACGAAGGGGAAGAAATCCCAGAGGAGGATGACGAAACTGCTCAAGAACCTACTACAGAGGCTACAAATGAAGACACATCCGGAAACGCCGAAGAAAATGGTGCTGAGGAAGAGACGGAGAACCATCCGGAAGCTTCTGCTGAACCAGAGCAGACAGAAGTGATTGAAGATCCTCCTGCTGAGATAGTTACAGATGTAGCAGTGGAAGGCGAGACAAAAGATCTTCAAGATCTTGAGGAAGAGGAGAAAGATTCGACTGATATGCAACCCCAGAATGTGACAGTAGATGGCGCTATTGAGGCATCCCATGTTCCAATGTATTCCACAACACAACCATCTCCAAAAATCAGACCGAAAGTCGAAGCAAACACAACAGAGTCACAAACCCCAAAAGACGAGGAGGTCACGCCTGCCATGCGCATCTCGCTCAGCCAATTTCAGGAGGTTCCACTGGATGGCGCCGGAGAGACGGCGGAGTCCAACACCAAGGCAGAAACCGAGAAACAGCGTGCTGAACAAGAGCCTCTGCTCCTCTCCAAAGCAGCGGCTCAGCTGGAAACCAGCGCCCCAAATCGAGCAGAGGACGCAAGTGCACCAAAACAAAAAGCCTGCCAATGCTGTTCGATCATGTGAACAATCTGTTGACGTCTGACTGTGATTTTTTTTATTCTCCATTCATTTTCATCTCGTCTGTTACTCTGAATATAGAGTTTCTATTTCATGACATTCATATTTTGATCTTCGGCGGTTCACATCTACAGTAAACTTGCTGCTTTGCGGTGGCATCAAAGCACAAAGTGTTTATTATGAACTGAAGCCTTTAAGACTTGCATTGCCTTCACTGTATTGAATTCCCATAACTCTTTTCTGTGTAAGAAGATGATTTGAAAAGCACATTGCCTTGCAGGAAAGGACTGGAAAAGTGGATGTTGTTGTTGATGTGTCACCATTGGTTGCAGTCCCAGCCTCTGGTGTCTGATTATGATCCTGTTTTTATGTCTGGCGACTCTAGAGCGTTGGCTGCCGACCCACAGAGGCCTTGACGGTTTTAACACTACCATATAAAAATATTTTGTTTTTCTCAGTACTGTGGGAATGAACCCACGCGGGTAATTAATTCTCATCCTACAATAGTTGTGACATTCTCTATTATAAACCATTTGTGTGCCTTGTTTATGCATCAAAACAAAGAGACAGCAAAGAGACGGAATGGTTACCTGTGATTTTATACATGCTGTAACATCTACAGAGATTTTTTATTTTTGATGTGAGTTTCAGTTTGATTGCTTTTATTGTTACGGTGCCTTCAACTGCTCGATGGAAGTGTTTTTAGACCTTAACGGCATAGTTCACCCAAAATGGAAAAGTTATGTTTCGTGTTGTTGCAAAGAAAGTTTTTCTTCTGCAGAACACACAAGATATTTTGAATAGTGTTTCAATAGGGTCAAAAACAACTTTTTATGACAAATATATATATAAAAGCAAAATGGGGTGAGTAAATGACAGAATTCAATTTATTTTTGGTGAACTATCCCTTTAATGTGAACAATACTTGATATACTTTTGACCAGTAAATGGCATAAACCGCTTTATCAATATTAGCAATTTTAGGTTCATTCTCCAACTGACATTTCTATAAGGACTGCTCCTGTTGTCTTTCATTAACTCTGTTTAAATTGTGTGTGACAGCGATTCAAGTTTCATACCAATAATCAATATTCAAAGTTTTCAGTTGAATTCATGAACAATTTTTTTTTCATTGAAAGTTTGATGTAGATTCTCAGTGTCTTAACTGAGTGCCTGTTTGTACAGTTTAAATAAAGAGCTGAATGAGAAGCAGTGCGGATTTTGTATAGAAAGTTTACATAGGAAGAGCTGCAGGATTAATAAACTAAACCGATGAAATTTAATCAAAGGCTGTTTTTTTTTTACTTATAATAGATTAAAACAAGAAATAGTTGAGGAGGTATAATGAGGATATATATGCTGTCAATGTAAAGATAAAACAGTATTCTTTTGTAAGTTATATATAAATGCATAAAAGAGAATCAAATAGTAATGCCTTTAAAAATCAATGGCAACAGTCCTTTTATCATGAAACATGAAAAAGAATACTGTATATTCAGTGTTGCAGTGCTGATTGTTTGAATATTTAATAGCTTGAACCTTTTGCATATTTATATTTAAATATTTAACTTTAATCCTGCTACATTGCACTTTACAATGTTTTCAATTTTTCAACACGAGTTAATGCATTCAGTATCATGAACTGATACTGCATTTATTAATCCGTTTAATTAAAAAGGTAATTATGCTTAAATATGCTACCATTCATTGTTAACTCCTGTTCATGCATAATACATTAACTAATGTTAATTCAAATGTATTCGTCAACAATTCTGTGTTTTTCTGTCAATATGGGGTGCTGTGTGTACATTAATGAGGAAAAAAAATTAACTTAAATAATTTTAGCAAATGGCTGCAATATAACAAAGAGTGAAAAATTTAAGGGGGTCTGAATACTTTCCGTACCCACTGTATATATGTAAAAATTAACATTAACCTTAATAAATGCTGTAAAATTATTGTTCATTGTTAGTTCATGATATCTAATGCACTATTGTATTAAAAGTATTATGGCTACATGTAGATCTTGCAGTATTGTGGTTGAATCTGCAAGTTATTCATAAAGAGATCCCCTGTTCAAACCCTGGCTTCAGTCATGAGAGCTTTGAGAGCTGTTTGGATTAGTGATGCAAGGCTGTGGTTTACTCAACAGCTTTAGTGCAGTGTGGAAGTAGGAGAGAAATGAACTGCACACGTTTTAACCTTGATTACTAAGCAGGGGGTGGAGGTACTGAGAGAGAGTTTAAGAGAGAAGGAAACCAGGGAAAGAAAGGGCAGATTTCAAAACTTCTTGGTGTATCAGGGAGACGATTTCAGTTCTTTCTGTCTTTCAGCTGACCTTCCATCCTTTCCTTCATCTCATCGGCTGGTAGGCCTATTTTCCTTTTTCGTCTTATTTTATGTATAAGAATGGGTCATGTAAAAGATGTAGCTCTTTAATTCAGTAGTATATATGTGTTACAATGTAAGGAATTTCAGTTTGGGTTCATCAATAGGATATTGCAGGATTATTTAATTTACCACCCTCCACATTACAAATTTGACTTAGAAGCACATTAAGTGCAAGAAACGTACTTATCCACATTTTGTGACAGCTATTCATAAAGTAGGTGTCTTGTGATTTATGAATGCTGACAGCAGTTTTCCGTATGCTGTAGCTAAAAATAGATTTGTGCAACTAGGTTTTGTTTACGTACTTAATATTTACATTTTCACAACAATCTTTTCCATCCTTTTGAAGTTCATTCAAAACCTTTATTATATATTTTGTGGGTGTTTTATAATTCATAAGGACACTAAGAATACCTCACTATTATTGCTGTATTATTCCTGAATCAGACTTTCCATGTTGTTTTGTCACTAATGTAATCTAATATAATCTGATTAAACTGTATTAAACTGCTCCTTATGTAATAAGCATTATGCTATGACACACCTCTAAGTCCTTGTGTTTCTTTTAAGTCCAGTGGAAAATACAATACAGTGTCCAAATATTATTGATCATGATCAACTCATTGTCAAAAATAAATAAATAAATAAAATGTATATATATATATATATATATATATATACTGTATATTATATATACTTGTATTACCTGACTTACATGGAGATCTGATTTTGTATTTAAGTAAATATGATTCTCAGAAGACCTGGTTAAACTTTTACTTTGTAAAGAATAGAAAGAAACTTCATTGACTGTGAAGGTGGAAAAAGTTCCACTCCTGACCCTGCACACTGTTTAATATTCTTCTAACTTTAATAATTTTGTTAATCATTCTAAGTCACATGTGCCAATATGAAAAAAAAAAAAAAAACAGTATGGATCGCAAAACGAGATAACAGTTACAGAAAAAAATGCCTTGTCTGTAGACTGATGCAAAGAAAACAATTTAATAAAATGAAAATAAATATTATAAATAATTGTTTCAGGTGACCGATTTTAAGGTGATCTATCTTAATGTGAAAAGACACTAATCTGAGGTATGGGCGTTAAAGAATAAATTACCTAATGAATTTGATTAAGAAATCTAGGTCAAAGAATTGTGAAACAAAAACCCAACAGCAACAAGACTGCAACGGTGAAAAAGGTTCCATACAGTCACACTATAACTCAATTTAGTATTAGCCTTCCAGAGCTGCTGGGATTGAAACATAAGCTGATTATAGATTCCTAAATCAGCAAAAAAAAAAAAACTGTAAGTGTTTCCCTTACAAAGAAAAGGCCTTCATGGGTCTCACCTCTATGCCATAAAAATGAAGAACGGGTGAGAAAATCAGTAAGGCATGTCTGGGAAGAAAAATACAACTTTGTTGAATACCAATTCAATCAAATAAAGGAAGCCAGTTTCTGGCTTGTCATTCTGTTATTGTATAACACATTTTGCCATTTATTTCATACAGATCTACTGCAAAATGGAAACAGACTCTGTGACTTGCCCTCAGAAATCTGAATCCCAGGATGAATGCAGTAGTGAAGAAGGAAAATTTCACTTCACTGATGATAGGGAAACAGCCATGCAAGACATGAAAAAGAAGGACAAAGAAGCTATTAGTGGGTTAGAAAAAACAAAAACACCGGACAGCAGTTTCTCTCCTCAACCTCACAATCATCCCATCTCCTCACCAGCAGATGGAGTCATTGAGACAACAATGGAAGACTTGAACAGTACAGTTGAAAATGATCCGAATGGTGATCAGGAGTGGCCTCAAGTGCCAGGTCTGGAAGAAGATATCCAACCAGAGAGGAATGAGTGTCAGGCCATTGAGATTCAGGATGAGGTGAAGGAAAACACTGAAACCAGGGAACATGCTCAGACATCTGTGCATGATACTGAGGGTGAGGAACCTGTTACCATGACACCGGTAGACAAAGGCTCACCACAGATACAAAATGTGGCCAATGAAGAGGGACATGAGCTTGAATCACATGGTGACTCTGACTCAATTGTGTTCTTATCAGAAAACAGTGTAGAGCAAAATATAGACTGCAAACCTGTGGACTTTGCCACCACCAGGGATCAGTGGGTGAGACGGGACAGTCGTTGTGATGAACCATCAAACCTGACGTATTCCAGGAGCTCTTCACAATATCTTCTCTCTGAGACCGAACATTCATCAAGCACCCAAAGTGAATCCACAACTGATCCTGTGGTTAATGCCGAGAACATCCAGCAAGGGGAGCTTGAGGTAAACAACCCAAGCAGTCTGAATGAGAATGAGGTAGTACAACAGGTGTGTGGTGCTGATCCGCCCCTAGAAACAGTTGCAGGTGAGCCAACCAATCCAGAGCAAGCTAACTCTGCCTGTATCTCTACCGAAGTAAAAGAGCCATTGATAATGCCACAGGGGAGGAGGAACAGTAAAAGGGAGGAGAGAGAGGGTGGTGAAACCGGTGAAGAGCGAAAGCAAACAGTGTGTTTCACAGAAACAGGTGGGACCGGAGGAAAGCAGCAGGGGGAAGTTAAAGATCAAAGACAGGAACAGGAAAACAACGGACAGAGAGCAGAGTCCCAGTCAAACACAAAGTCTCATTTGGGAGAAGGGAAAGTAAACAGAATGCAGGTGGATCATTTTGATGACAGCCAGAGTGATAGTGGCGTATCAGCAGACTTCTCCCCCAACAGCACAACAGATGTCTTGGAGGGCCATGATAATGAAGCTCCTCAGCCCTCTGAATCTCCACCAAACGAAACTCCCATTGAGAGAGAGATCCGTTTGACCATGAAGAGAGAGCAGAGTCTACGGCGTTCTCGAGGACTGTGCGACACAACTGACAGGACTAATGAGTTTGTGGAAATTCCATTGAGAAGACCTATTCTATCCCAGGACCCCCAGATAAGACCCAACCCAAGCCACGGCAAAGACCGGCAGTTTGCTGGAAAGAAGATGCAGAAGGAAATCAGCGCAGAGACAGAGAGGGAGAAGGTTCTGGTTGAACTGGGCCGACTACCTGGGTTCTACGACAAGGGAACAGAGGTACAGCTTCAAGAAAAAAAGCAGCTTTTTGAGTCATTCCAAGAGCCGAAGGAATCAGTGGCAACCAGATCTGCCTCAAACTTCACCGCAGAGACTGCCGCTGGAATACAGGAAGTTGATTCTGTTGCTGATGTTAAACAACGCTTAATGCAATTCTCACAAAATTCTCCCACCCCACCAGCTACGGCCCATTATGGAGGCACCAATGGCAACCCGCCTGCTGCTCGAGGACCTGGTCTATCTGAGGGAATCAAGGGCCAGATAATCATCATAGAGTCCAACGCTATTCCCACAACTGTGGGAGGACCAAACGGAGGTTATAAGACAACCTCATGGACAGATGGAGGATCTGTGAAAGAGATGAATTCAGCGGGTGTGAGGGCTTCTTCTGATGAGCCTGTCAGAGCAAGACAAAGTCCGAATTTAGAAGGGATTGAAAATGAAGATTTGAGAATAGTGAAAGAGAACCCTTTCTTCAAGCTCCGCTCTTCTATGAGTCTGCAGTCTCAGGTGGAGCTGGACATTAAGGAGGCTAAGAAGAGGGAACAAGAACTACAGAGACAGAGAAACAGTCTTTATGGAGGAGCAGCCATGTATACAGACGAAGGCAGTGGAACAGGAATGGATTTGAGGACAGAAATTAGAGTGAAAGAGGAAAGGGGAACCTCTAGCCAAGAGATCCCCCCACCTCAATGGACAAATTTGACTCCAGCAGGCCACCAATCAGAGACGTTAACCACCACTACGTCAGGTGAGTCATTATAAGCAGCATGTGAAAATTGGTTTCTGTTCACAGAGCAGTTCAAATCAACTGAAGAATCACGACATTGGTGCTTTCATGTTTGTAGGTGAAAAAGAACATATTGAAGGTAGGGATGATATACACTGGATATTAAATGCATAAATGTAAATGAAAGCCCAAAGAAACTTATGCATTCAATATACAGTTCATGCATTACCTGAGAATCAAACAAATGACTTCTGCATTGCTAACATCATGCACAACCATTTAAGATACTGGACACATACACAGAAGCATTTGTCATTCAAATTCTGTCGCATTCAAAATATACATTTTATAAGTTCATGCATTTCCTGTGAACAAACCCATAATCTTTGCATTGCTAGCAGCACACGTTACTTTTAGCTACAGGAGAGGATGCTACATAGAGATGATCTATAAACAGAGGATAAATATGCAAAGAACACATGGCATATCTAACAAATCCTAAAAAATAACTATTCATTTGAAGGCTATACCTTTGACAGACAACTTTAACCAGAGCAATTTACATTGCATTCAAGATATACTGTATGTGTTCATTCCTTGGGAATTAAACCCATGACCTTGGCGTTGCTAGCACAATGCTCTACTACTTCAGCTACGGGAAAATCTTAATAACAGCAACACTGGCAAAACTCAACACATGTAAGCTATTATTTAACAGTGTGATTCTAACACTTTTCTGTGTGTAGAATGTTATGTAACCACATTATCATTTGACTGGAAGCTGGTAGTTTGTGCTTCACCATGGCAGAGAACAAACAAACAGCCAAAATGCTAATATAGGGTTGTCACCAGTACTAACGTAACCCGGATATTAAAATTTCTGTATTAGTCAAATGTGCTGACATGAGCATAGTATGGATAAGAGTACTGTGTTCTGGAAAGGTGTAGGTTAATGCATTTTTGAAATATAACATGTGTGTCCAATACATGAACTACAGTTGTGACTTCTTGAAATGATCTTTTACTACTGTACAAGCCTGCTGAAATGCCTGCTAGTCTTCATATAGAGAAATGATCCAAGCATTTACGCTTACAATTAATGACACATAGATTTCATACTAAACTGAAGGGGAAGTGAAATAACTTTTCCACATCAGAGGCTTTTCTCAGTTAATCTCTTAGAGAAAAAGTGCCTACCTTATAAATGAGGAAGTTAAAATTGCATGTGCTGCTCCGGTTTATTTTTAAAAAATCTGTTTAAAAAGGAACACTTCACCATAAAATGAGAAATCTGTCATCTTTTTTTTTTCACCCTTATGTCGTTCCAAACCTTTATAACTTTCATTTGTCAAACACAAAAAGGAGGTGTTAGACAGGAAGTTCACCCTGTTCTCTTACATAGAAAAAGTGAATGGTGACCAGGGGCAACAAAAATGACAAAAAAAAAAAGTTTGTGCATTGTATTATATGATACCTTTACACTGATGTTCAGTGAAAAGTCAAATGTATTCACTTCTCAAATCTAACTCAAATGTACTTATTCGAATGTGTGCATATTCAAATTTGGTGTGCTATGATCGCTTATGTGACACGTGAGAACCAGTTACAATATGGCACCATTGACATCAAATCTTGTGTGACCCATTTTGATGTGCCATATATGAATATACGCAAATATGAATGAAATTTGAGACCATTTTCAGTGTATAACAACTCAATATGCCTTCAGAAGACCACTTTAATTATGCTTTTTGTCATTTTTGGAGCTTGACACTGGCTGGTCACCATTTGGTTGGCATATTGTTTGTAAAAGAGCATTATAGACATTCTTCAAAATGTCTCCATGGAGGGAAAATGTCATATGGGTTTAAAACAACACATGGTTTAGTCAATGATGATGGAATTTTCATTTTTGACTAAATGATTTCTTCAGCCAACGCTTTCAAATAAGAAAAAAAAAGTGCAAAAACCGTACCCTTTCAAAAGATATGTATTTGCACACATATAAGTACCCTAAATGTATATTTTAGAACCTTAAAGCAGCACTATGTAACTTTTGGCGCTCTAGCGGTTAATAAACAGAACTGCACACATCCCGCGGAAGAACATTCCAACCGGAGCTACTTCTCTAAGTTTATGTCTATGGCGATTCACGCAGGTATGTGTTACTCCGCAGCGGTGACGACCCGACCAGGCTACAATAGTCCAAATAAAAGTACTTATTATAAGTGTACCGTGGTGATTCGGACTAAGAGAAAAAACGCGGTTTGGAAGATGAATTCATGATATACTCGCTCATTATATACATTTTGCACATTTTGAAGACAGAAAAAGTTACACAGTGCTGCTTTAATATACTTTTAAAATTAGTGCTGTCAAACGATTAATCGCGATTAATTGCATCCAAAATAAAAGTTTTTGTTTACATAATGTGTGTGTTTGTACTGCATTTATTATGTATATATACACACACATTCAGTATATATTTTGAAAATATTTACATGTATATACATTTATATTATGCATTATATTTTATATTTATATATATATTAGTGTACATATTACTTATTGGTACATATTTCTACCTTTTGAAAAGGTACCACGCCAGTGACAATTTTGTACCCCTTTTTGTAGAGTGTATGCTATGTTTGCTAAAGGCATTCAATTTCAAATTCACTTACTAATGTTCTCATTTTAATGTTCTGATCAATACAGACAACAGTAACGATCCCAAGGCAGAGAAATCCATTACTCGAGCGCTGGGAGTCAGGGACTGTGAACGTCCAAATATAAGTACTTATTATAAGTGTACCATAGTGATTCGGAATAAGACAAAAACGCAGTTTGGAAGATGAATTCATGATATACTCGCTCATTATATACATTTTGCACATTTTGAAGACAGAAAAAGTTACACAGTGCATACTTTTAAAATTAGTGCTGTCAAACGATTAATCGCGATTAATTGCATCCAAAATAAAAGTTTTTGTTTACATAATGTGTGTGTTTGTACTGCATTTATTATGTATATATACACACACATTCAGTATATATTTTGAAAATATTTACATGTATATACATTTATATTATGCATTATATTTTATATTTATATATATATTAGTGTACATATTACTTATTGGTACATATTTCTACCTTTTGAAAAGGTACCACGCCAGTGACAATTTTGTACCCGTTTTTGTAGAGTGTATGCTATGTTTGCTAAAGGCATTCAATTTCAAATTCACTTACTAATGTTCTCATTTTAATGTTCTGATCAATACAGACAACAGTAACGATCCCAAGGCAGAGAAATCCATTACTCGAGCGCTGGGAGTCAGGGACTGTGAACGACTGAGACTGAAACACAACTACAACATCCTGATGTACAATATATTGTATGAAGCCCAGCCAACCATGAGTGCACCGGCCTAAAATAAAGCATATGAACAACTGATCAGTTTCCCAGTTTAAGTAACACGTGCCATTATGGGTAGATAAAGAGCATAATTTGCCTCAAAAAGCCACTGCAAGCTATATGATATTCTACAACACACACCTTGTAAATAACAGATGAGCCAAACTGTTGTTATAATGGTCGGCCAGTGTTTATTGGCATTATATGGGCTCAAATGATTTCAAAGTAATTCTCAATGTAATTTTCTGATTTACAGTTATACAGTTATTTATAATCAATAAACATAGCTGCTTATCTCATAGTAACAAATCTAGTCTAAAGGCTGGAATACTGTAAGATTGTGCAAGAATTATATTTAAATAAACATTCTTTGATAGATATTTCCTTACTCATTAGAAAAGCAAAATTGTACTGGGAAATGGCTTCATTGATACATATATATAAATGCTAAAATAAATAAAAATGTGTTAATCAGCTTTTTTGGTTATTTGCGAATGCACTGAATAATTTTCCAAGACTCAAATTGTTGAATGAGACTCACTGTGATTTGACCCTTGGAATCCGAAACTAGATCACGGACTTCACAATAGGCACAATAACCAGAATGTAATGCTTGGCTTTGATTTTCAAAATAACAATTAAAGAGGGCGATGTTCTAGCATTCCATTCAGCTTCAAAAGCCCTTTGCTTGTTCAATGACATTACAGTCCATTGTAACCTTCTGCATACTCAGCCCGAGCTGTGAGGTATGAACACCCGACTGCCGTGACTCAACACGCCAGTGGGCATTCAAATTCATCGCCATGGTGATGATGGTACTGTAGGAAAGGTACAAAGAAAACGTCCGAGCCCGAGTGAGATTAGTCATGAGCGAGATCACAACACACACACACACTGACCCTCTAGTTGCCTGTGAATTATTCATTCACTCTTTCTGAGCACAATTAGCCAAGGATGCATGGGAATGCTCATTTCAAATATGGCAGCAGCTCATCGATACCACTGGAGAAAAGCTGCCCATTGCTTTCAGATTTCAATGAGCCTAATCCAAATGACCTTTAAGACCAATAAACAATACTATTCTTTGTATTCTTAGGAAAACAAAGCAATGTGATTAGTGACGCAAGGGTAGTTTCTGGCTAAATATATAATCTGTATTTGTTTTACAGAAGTCTGGTGACTGAACATTGTTTTGTTCCAGCCATATTTAAGTGTTTCTGTGTAAATACAGGGTTAAAGGGATAATTCACTCAAAAAAAAATAAAAATACCATCATTTACTCACCCTCAAATCTGTACGAGATAGATAGATAGATAGATAGATAGATAGATAGATAGATAGATAGATAGATAGATAGATAGATAGATAGATAGATATCAGCAAACTGAGGCATTCTTAAAGGTTGCCATGGGATAATCATAGATGGGCTCTGAAAATGAGGGTCTTCCTCTAAGCATTTGTCCATTTTCCTGTAGATTGGAAACACGTGCATATTAAAAACTTGCAAGAGATGTGATAAGTTAGTGTTTCTCACAGCGGACATAATGCAACAGGAGGATGTTGGCAACTGCGTGATGTAAAGAGATCTTATTCTGTGATCTTATTCTTCCTCTCTCATTCTTGTCTAAACAAATCAGCATAC